GTGGGCATGGTGGTGTTGGGTCGACGGTTGGACTCGATGATCTTAGAGGTCTTTTCCAACCTTAATGATTCTATGATTCTGTGATTCTTCCGACAGATCCGCCTTTAATTGACTTTTTAGCGGCTGTGCGCAGCATCTCGGGAGGGATCGCTAATTAAAGCCATGTTGTGATCATGGCTGGAGGGTAGCAGGGTGTATGAGCGAGGCTGGATCTTGAGCCAACGCAATCAGCCTGTGCAGAGGGGCTGAATGTCTGTCCAGTCTGAAAACGCCCTGACGGATGGTGGGTTTTTGCTGGTCAGAGTCAACAGTAGCCAGGCGTGACCTCGGGGCAGGAAGGCACAGCAACGGGATGCAGAGAGTTAGCAGCTGCCATGCGGCTGGTTTCCATCCCTGGAGCCGGGCAAAGGCCGGCAGGAGACGGCTGCTCCCCCTCCGCCGGGGCTGCGGGCTCAGGGCCGGACCCAGCTCAGGGCATCCCCAAACCTCGGGACCGCGGTCCCTGAGGATGAGCCCCTTGGCTGTCCCTAGCGAGGTTCCCATCTTGTTCCCTCCTCAGAGGGAGCTGTAGATTATTCTCCAGTGCCTGGTTTTGAGTGGTCGGTGCCTCTAAAGACATTTCTTTTAAGATTACGTTAATCCTATGCCACACCGGCGGGGTGGTAGCTTTGGCTGGGGGGGTCGGCTGCCTTCCCACGCACGGTGATGACCTGGGGGTAATTCAGGGCAACCCCATCCCTGCCGAAGCCCCCCTGGGGTGTCGCCAGGGAAGGTGGGAGCTGGGGTTTCTCTCTGCCAAAATGCCCCAACGGAGCCCACGGTGCAACCGTGCTGCCGGTCTGGGGGGTGATGGGGGGAAGACTTCTCCGGTGCCGTGGGGCTGCAGGGGAGCCCGTTTCCCTCAGGGGAGGCTGCGCCCACCACCACGGGGGGGGGGGGTGACCCGGCGTGGGGGACGTCTTTAACTGCTGGTAATTGAGCAAAGTCGAAGGCAGCAAGACAGCGTGATGGAGGCGCAGGATTGTCACGCCGTCTTCACCCCGAGACCCAGCACCGCCGTGATGCTGGGCTGGGACCCAGAAAAAAAAAAAAAAACAAAACCCAACCCAGCGAAAGTGGAGGTCCGTGCTGCTGAACTGGGAACGAGCTGGGAGCATCACCCTGCAGACAGGGACCGGTGGGTGCATCCTCCTTACAGGTGGCAGGAGCGGAGCAGGACACGGCCGCGCGGCCCCAGGGCTGCGGGGTGTCCCCGGCGGCTTCGGCTGTGGCTGCGGGGAGCCCCACGCGCAGGGTCGGCTTTGGAGACGGGTGCGCTCAGGCCTGTGAAGAGAGTGGACGGTGCTGGCCCAGGGGTGGAGGGGGAGATGCAAACCCCGACCCAAGCATCGTGGCGAGGGGCTGGCAGGAGCTTTTCATCCCAGATTAATTTTCAGAGGTGCTGCGGGAAAGCCCAGGTTTCCGCATTACCTTGAAGCCGACGACAGGCGCTGTTTGACACTCTCGGCGCCCCATATTTAATATCCTGTGGCTTCCCCAGCTCTTCCCACGTGCTATAACGATGTATGTTTTCTCCCCGGCTTCTCCTGGATCACGGCGGGTTTGCAGA